ATCTATTTTTATTTCCTGTATTTACAAACACAAGGCTTCACTTTGTGTTAATATAATACATTTGCATCTACATTAAGTGTGTGGCCCGCGAAGTGTGCCACCATTCATGAAGTGGCCCTCCATCAAATATAATTGCCCACCCCTGGTGTAGAGTGTGTGTGCATAAGTTTCTGTACTGTATATGCCTACTGTACTGTGCACATGATGTACATTTAATGTACATAAATATCTCATATATACTGAACATGAACTATACAGCATATCTTTCATTTGTGTATTAAAATCAATGTGAATATGTTTTTCCCTAATTAATATACTTTTTATGTTGAATTGATATTTCAGGTCTTGACAAGATGTTAGCCAGATAAGATATATAGCAATGTGGTTATGGAAATGGTCAGTCAGAGCAACTTTAATTTCTCTTACAGCTCAGTACAACCTTCTCTCTGAGGAAAGTTGTACTGAAATGTAAAAGAAATTAGAACTCTTTTTTTTACTAATTGTTTCCATAACCACCCTTCTATCATTATGTGAGGCATAGAGAATAATAAGGGCATAGGTCTGAATATCTCAACTCGGCTCAATTTCGAGGTTGTGCTGCATGATTTTGGCCCTTGTTTTCTTATGGGGATTGCTTGACATCATTACCTGATAGAAGAATGTTGGGGCTATGGACTAACTTAGAATATGGGAAATTGGACAATCCGGTGATACGCCCCTGCTTTTCTAAATGCCTCATATGTTGTGATGGATGTTCAGCAATATACAGAATCCTTTACACTGCTTCTGTCATTAAAAAAATCTTTATCACTACAGAGTTAAATTACTGTACTTAAAATATGTATTGACTTAAACCTACTTGTCCTGTGATGGAATTCTGTACAGAATGATGATAATCTTATGTTGGCAGTCAAACAAATTTTTCTGGTTAACCTTATTATTTCACAATACAGTTTATATGAACATCAGTCAAACTACGTATTATTCAATCAGTTACTGAATATCTTAAAGTCTGTGTAATTTTGTTGGTGGTGAGAAAAAAGTTAAATTACTATTTTGTTTCATGCATTAATTGTTCTTAGATCTCAAACTGTATTATTCTGGAGTTATTTGCTGCCACTAATATAACTGCCATGTTGAAAGATACTGTATGCTTTTGGTGGCATAATTATATCTAAAGATTGTCTCATGGCTTCTGTCCAAAACTTATCAAGTTATCCACCCAGTTAAAAGACCAATGTTATTAAAAACAAAACAAAAAATACACTGTGGCTCATCATATGGACATGTTTCTCGCAATGGCCAAGAAATTGTCCTCTCTCCTTGTGATTCTTGCTCAAGGTTAGGTTTCTCGAGAATTGCAATAGACAATGTGACGAGATTTGTCCGTATGATTGGCTTTGGCTTAAAACTTTATCAGCCGACCACCATATCGACAATGAGGTACCACTTGTTGCATGGCAGGGGAGAGGAGGCCATGAGGTAGAATCATCACCAAAGAATATGCAAAGTATACAAAACTGTATTGTATTGAAATGTCATTGATTTGATCTACTGTTAAAAGTTTTCAGTAATGTTTCGTTAATACCATTATGCTTTATAACTCCACCCCATAACTATTTTTAAAAAAGTTATCCCTTTCAGGTGTCTTACTACTCAATGCTTGTTTAACTGTCGAGGCCCACAGAGCTAACTCGCACAAGGACAGAGGCTGGGAGAAGTTTACCGACTCGGTCATCAAAACAATATCAGAACATAATAAAGGTGTTGTTTTCCTTTTGTGGGGATCATATGCCCAGAATAAAGCTGCTGTTGTTAATAAGGTAAACGACTTTTAACTCACTGTATAGTATCCTTCACTACCTCATCCCTGGCCTGCATTAATTCCTCAGATTACATCTTGTTTCTATTGTCATAATCCTTCTGTTACAATCCCACCCTACAATTCCTTTCTTATAGGCAGTTTTCTTTTGCTTTATTATGCACTATAAAACTTACTGTAAATATTGACATTGCACTTTTTACTTGTTTTAAGATTTCTGGGGGAAACCTTTATCTTGCAATGCCTCTTGGTGTTCTGCCAAGTATTCCCTTATTATAGGTATTTAAACTGTATCATGTTAATTACATTCCTTCATGTTTATGTGTTTGGGTGCCCACCATTCTTTTCTCCTTTTGTTTACTTCTTTTTGAACACATTTGCTAACTGTTTCACAAAATGACAGAATTCATTTATTGATGATTTCTATAATTCAGGAACTTTCCAGCTCTCAAAATTGTAGAGGCAGCTGATGACAACTCTGTATTGAGGAGACTTTACTTGTACCAAGCTGCCTAATGTCTGGATGTAATATACACGGGATCTTCAATGAATATGAGGAACCCTTGCTTATTTTGCCTGATGATTACCGGTAAACACCCTAATGGTAATTGGGGGCTTATATTAGGGTAGTTTATGTTAAGTTAGTTTTTGTTAGGTTAACATTGGAGTGATTAATCATCAGGTACTGGTAATCTTTTATTAGGTTTAGGAACTAGGATAATTGTATTTTGTATTTTACAGAGGAGAAATATTGATGGATAGAGTAAATCCAAATTCATTTCTTTTGAAAATAACTTTCATTTTCTTTCATGTTTTTCATCTAACGTATTGATTTTGCTACTTATTGATGATGTCTTTTTCTTTAGATATACATCTTGCACACAGCTTGTCCTAGCTTATCTTGTGGAAATGCTCCAGACAGGCATCAGTACAGTGCCTGCAAGCAATAACCTTACTCAGATCATGTCGGCTAATCATGGAGTTATCTTCCCATAGTTGTGTTTTAGGAAAAAATCTTTCATGTGCTTGCTTATCTTGACCCTTAATACAAAACAACATTTTGTGTCCTCTTATGCACAAAAACTGGAATGCAAGGAACATGAAGCATCCATTGATGTTGGCTCCCATCTCTACAACTAACACCAGTTGATGTTGGCTGCTGTTTAGTGGTTAATGGCATTTCTTGTTTGGGTTGTATAGTCTATATTTTCTCGTTTTATTATAGTACTTAAGTTTGTAATGACTTTTTTTCTTTTTTTTTCACCACAGAAGAAACATCATCTGCTCAAGGCTGCATTACCACTGTTTGGTCATCGTGGGTTCTTTGGATGCAAACACTTCTCCAAGTGTAATGAACTTCTTGAGAAGGGGGGGAAGAAGCCAATAGATTGGACATATTTGCCACCACATATATAATAAGGATGAATTGAAGTTCATGATCATCAGTGTTTTACAACCATTTTCATTTGTAAATGTTGCCTTTGCCTTGTTCATTACAGTACTATTTTTTTAACACTGATTAACCCTATTTCACATCAAGATGTGAATTGTGTCAAATCATTAGGTAGTGCTATTTGCTTCGTTGATGCGAATTATGTCATCGAACTTTAAAAAAAAAATTTACTCCCCAAAAAGTTTTCAAGCGCATTGGGTCAAATTTTCGTGCATCATTGATGACTCCATGATCTTGCTGGGGAAGCTTCTGATTGGTCACATTTGCACCTTTTTGCCTTTTCCATATGTCTGGTAAATGTTTTTGACTGATGGAGAGGCATTTGTTTACAAATTTGTTTTTGTTTTATTCTATATTGCCAAATGAGAAGTTTCAGTTTCCTCTGTTTTGTCATCTGCTACCTACAACTATTCATTTCACTCTTTATACAGTTATACATAGATAACAAATATGGTTGTTCCAGGCACCAATATGTGTCAGTACTGATGCAGGAAGGTAAGCAAGCCTATTCATGGCACGTACTTAGTTAAAGTCTAGCCACCAAAAGATTCTCTTCAGTAGTATTGAAGAATGGAAAGTGTTGGGTCTGATGGACCAGCATCAGAAACAGGTGGAGAGTGATTTATTGCTAGAAAAGGCTGATGCTCACTATTTGGTGCTTTCACTACCATTGTCCTATGCATTCATATGCCAGAAGGAAGGCAAGAATATAATTTATATTTAATACTGTACAGGTATTGTTTATTTTTACATAAAAAACTTTCTTTACATAATTTGTATTATTTCTTTCTAAACAGTCAGTTTTATGTGTACTGTATATGAGGTATGTGAGCATTTTAAGGGTTAAAGATTTTTGTGGCAATTGTGTGAATGTTTGTATTACAACAAATATTGTCATAACTTGATGTGTGAGGTCGCCCACAAGTTTATAAAATGTTTCGAAACATCCTGTATTTAATATGAAGAATAAGAAAGTGAAATTTTGTTTGCATGTGAAACAATTTGAGGTTTTTGTTTGAAGACCATTACAGTGTTAGTCTTTGTGAATAAATTTAAGAATTATGAGAATAGTTTTAACTTATTATGTGTCATTCTCTGTCAAGGAGGAAACTGTGGTAGAGCTGGAGTGTATGAAGTTCTCAGGAGTATTTTATAATACAATACAGGTACCCTGTACTGTACTGTAACTGAAATTAAACTTCATTATTAGTTGTAACAGAATCAAATTTTATAGGTATGAAAACTTCATTCATGAATTCACAGCAACACTGGCTGACGAGTTGTCAGTTTGCATTAATATTTCTGTACATTATTTACAGTATAAAGCCAACATCCCCCGCTCTCACTACACCACTATACACACATGCAAAAGGTCTATTCTTTAAACCCTTGGTATGGTTCCCTTCAGATAGACAGACTTGGTGAACACAAGTTTTAGGGAATTTTATAATGACTTCATTTGTGTGAATAATTTTTAGGGTATGATGTGTCTTTAAAAAAAATAGTGGTGTTTTTTTGTTTTTTTCTGCACATCAGTTGTCATTGTAAGCAACCAGCAATACCAATATGCTCATAGTACAATATTATTCTTGTACGGGTTATATTTGTAAATGATATTGGTGTATGTAAAATGAATTTTCTTTATTTTACTTATTCTTCAAGGTGTGTAAGATAGACATGACTAAAGGGATTTATACACAATTCTGTCAACCTAAGCTATTTTATGAATAATTTGATACACACTACATACATTAAATAATGATAAACATGAACTAGTAATAACAGATAACTTAAAATAGGTACGTATACATAAACTAGTATAGGTTGTACCTCTCTAGTCCGGCAACCTCGGGACCTGACCGGTGCCGGACCATGGAAATTCACCCTTTTCCTGGATAGATAGTGACTTGTGCTTATGCTTGGAAGCACTAGTACCACTTTCTCTGCATCATGGTGTCTTTGAAGACATATTGAAGGGTTAAATGTCGTATAGTAGCTACTCAAATTTCGCGAGTTTTTAATTCAACGTATTTTATTAGAACACACACAGAGAAAAAATAAATAAAAATTTTGATGGCGGAAACTTGAATTTCGACGGGTTTGAACGGCCCGCCAACGTGCAGACGACGTGCATAATCGTGTAAATAGCGTCATTTCTCTTATGTACAAAAGATTCATTATTGTTTATTACTGAATGTCTTTTTTATTGAATTTATGTTTGTGTGCAAAATGAGCAATACAATTCATTAATAATACGTAGAATATTAAAACACACGAGGAAATGAGACAACATTGTTTTCGTTGATTACAAAACCAGTGACTGACTGGTTCTACATATAAAACTGAAGAAAATAAGACCCTGGTTGTAGCTGTAGTAAAATTAATATGGTTGTTTTAAGTAATGTTATTTAATGTTAATAAATGGAACAATAGAAGTAGCTAACGAGAATGGTAAAGAAAAAAGAGATATCGCGTATGTAAGTGCGCACACGTGAAAACATATCGTCATTACTTTACATAAGAATATGAAAGCAACAATTATTTACTGTTCATATATATTTTAATTAATGTTTCTGAATTTGTTTTTATTGAATTAATGTTTGTGTGTGCAAAATTAACAATACAATTTATTAATAATGAGGAGACGAGACGGCTGCCGGCATTGTTTATGTTAAAGCTTACAAAACCAGTGACTGACAGGTTCTACATATAAAACTGAAGAAAATAAGTCCCTGATTGTAGCTGTAGTAAAATTAATGTAATAAAATTAATATGGTTGTTTGAAGTACCTGTAATGTTATTTAATGTTAATAACTGGAACAATATAAGTAGCTAACCATTAATGGTAAAAAAAAAAGTGAGACTGCGTGTATGTAAGTGCGCACATGTGAAAACATATCGTCATTACTCTACATAAGAATATGAAAGCAACACTTATTTACTGCTCATATATATTGAAGGGTTAAATGTTGTACTCTGTATAGACAAGCAGAGAGAGAGAGAGCAGCCGAACTGCCGGATGTAAACAAACCTTAATTTCCCGCCGCTCTGTTGTTTTGTTTTTTACGGGGATTAGCCCACCCGGGCATAGGTCACCGACCCACATTGGGACCTGAGGGGCAAAAATTTAATACTCCTGTAATAATAATAATCAGATAAGTAAAAAAAAAAAAAACTGCCTGTCTACCTATTGGACAAACTAAAATCGTTCCGGACCACAGAATGCCGGACTAGAGAGGTACAACCTGTATTAACACCAGCAAATCCGAGCATGATTATAGTACTGAACTTACTCATGATTTATGAACCAATATGTATCCCTTTGTCATGGCTTCTTGTGTACCTGGTTAATATATCTTGCATTACTGAAAATATATATAATTTGGAGAAGATAGAGTTAATGTATTTTGTATGTTTTATAAATTTTGATAATCTCAAATAAAATATGATGTCTTCCAAAAATAAAGTATTTTTCCTTCGTACTCTATAGAGAAAACTGATAAGTAATCTCTCCATTAGCAGGAATATTTGTTCCACAGAATTCTCCAACTGCTGGGTTTTTCTTGGGGGTTGGGGGGGGGGGGCATTCTGAGAAATTCCGGGGGGAAAATCTCTGCATTCTGGGCATGGCAGCGAATTTCTGAGGATTGTATCATGCGCATTTCTGGAAAATTCTGAGAAAAATCTTTCCATTCCAGGCATGGGAAAGAATTTCCGGGAGATTGCATCATGTTATCGACGCATGGGTGGGTAGGCTCAGAATGCTCATGAGCTACAATTGGTCACTACTGTCATGTGGCTGTTTGGGATACCTATGAATGGCTAACATATGTCACAGCCTATCTTCTCAAACTCTTGCATCATGACACTCTTAGTTCAATGTCTGCTGCTATTGTACAAGCTTGTTTGCTTGCTCTGCTGTTTTTACATATGATCTGCATTGTTTTGCAGTACTGTACATTACTGTTTCAGCATAAAATCAGCCAAGTATTCATTAAAGCATTGTTAAGATGTAAAAAGGTGAATGGAGGGTACTTTCAGTTTTGTATACTGTACTGTACTTTCTGTAAGTATGAAAGTGCCATTTGTACTGTATTGGACAATGCATGCTAGTGTGTAAGGGGTTTATGTACAGTATGCAGTGCATATTCAATCCTTCCTTCATGGGGGAAGAGGAGAGTGACAGTTAGCAACACCTGCTACAGGACAAAGGCAGGCCATCCTGTGTATCATCATCATATCAATTGGCCTGCCTGCATCACAAGCTCAAGATGACAGCATCTGCTGGTGAGTACAGTATATTCAGTTCAGTAGTAGTAGTAGTGTATTCTCTTTATTTACAGTATATTTTATATGTACAATGGTGTTTGCATAAATAAATGCAGCTCTGTGTCCGTGTGAGATGTGTAGTTTAGACTCGAGGAAACCTCCCCAGTACAGTGGGGTATGCTATAACGAACGTAATTGGTTCCAGAACCTCGTTCGTTATAGCATTCGTTCGTTGTAGGATTAATCCGTTCCAGGCCCCCAAATACAACCACTTGACACTGAAAAAATTCTGTGGAAAATGTAAAAAATAGGGTATTTTATCTTACCTTAGTGTTGTTCAGCATGCAGGTACCCCTAAACACTGGCACAGCACTATCACTTCCACTGGGAGTCTTTGCTTTATGGTCCTCAAATAATTGTCTGGCCTTCTCACAAATTATAGCTTCACTAATGTTACCACCTGCCATTTCTTTCTCCTTTATCCACACTAAGAGTAAATTTTCCATCTCTTCAATCACATTACACCTTGCTTTGCTAAGTCTAAAGATTCCCTTAGCCACTTGCACTGTTTTTAACTCCCCTTTATTCTTCACAATCGTACATATAGTCGATTTAGCCATCCCATGTTCATCACTAAGTTTCGCAATGCTTCTTCCATTCTCACGTTTCTTTATAATTTCTTTCTTAGTTTCAAGGGTTATTAGCTTTCTCACTCGCTTTGGACGATTCGTTGTTACAATTGTATACTTGTATAACAAAATAGTTATACAAATAACGCGAATTTCCACATCAAAAGACGAAATTTCAACAATAACAGTGGTGCACTGGCTACACAATGAGACAAAGATGGCGCCTGACGCTCTTGTTGTGGGTCGCGGTACAACAATAGTCCCGTATTCATCCGCGTTCGTTGTAGGAGTTGCGTTCGTTATAGCATTCTCAATTTTATAGGTAAAACCGTTCGTTATAGGAATATTCGTAGTACGATCCGTTCGTTATAGCATACCCCGCTGTACCTGGAAAAATTCCAGGGATGTGTGATTTTTTCCATACAGGAAAATATCTCAATCGCAGAACTGCTGTGCACCAATTATTCTGGCTAATGGGGATATTACTACTGTATTTAGATTCTTAGGTCACAGACCCACTAGATATGGTTTAATGTCTGAGGCATCTTTTTCACAACAATGATGTCTCTGTAGGCAAAAGAAACGTCATCGTTGAGTACAACAATTAATAATTTGGGGAGATGGCCATCCTTCTGATGGGTAATAGTACTGTACTGTACTAGGTTGTGTGAGGTAATGGTTAAACTGTTTGGGGGTTTTGTAAATGGAAAATACCAGAGTAAAGCATCAGCTACGTCAGTGAGATAGAATGGCTGTCCGTAAATGGAAGGAGAATTTTTTTTCTGATTCTAGTGAACTTTTATTATACCAGGAAGAGTCAAAGTGTGAACAATAAGAAGATAGACTGTATTTGCATTATATAAACTACTGTACTGGTAACTTATGTAATTATTATAACACAAATGCTAAAAGTGAACATTTATATCCCAGAAGCTTTGTGTGATGGAGGCATCACCTGACTACAACTAGAGTTAATTGAAAAATAATTACAAAATATTCCATCAGGATTATAGCCAATTGAAAAAATCTCATACATATATCTCCTTAGGATATTATCCTTGTCACATCATGAGAACAACTCACCTGCTTTGAATACAGTATATTATGAATAAAATCCTAACATTTAGTTTTAATTTACATGTTGCTACCTGACTTATATTGAGAAAAAATCTCTCAAGGCCAAATAACTAGCAGAGTGTGAGTTTAAATTCTGGTACATAATACTGTACTTCTCTTCCCCCTTGTTTTGTCATTCCCAAATGCTGTAAGACTTACATTTTGAATTTTACAACAAAATTTGAATTTTAAAATTGAAGTACAGTACTGTACAGCATTTACTTCAAAATGAATACAGCCAACCAGAAGAATATATTAAATATTATAATTAATATGGGTATGACAATCATTTTGTAAATATAGAGAAATCTAACTGACACATAGATTTTAAGTTCGATGGGAGGTAAATCTTCTTGAAGCATTGGCCGGACTTGCGTCACCCTCTTGACTGATGGTGAAGGCCTAGGTGTTACTTCATTCCTGACGAACACATTCACCATGATGTTTACAAAAAGGAGAGAGATAATAAAAAAGAACCAGATATCTATAAGTTTGATCTCTGCAGTTGTTGGAAGAGAACTAGAGAGATTGGAGAAGAGCGTGTAGAGAACAAGGAGTGTTGTGAGAGACATGATGGCACGAACATTGAGTGCCTCAAGTTTAATGAAGAGCGTTGACCAGCTCACCAGTAACAGTAGTGAGGAGGGTAGGAAGGTTGACAACATGACCACCCCTGGCCGTCGGTGGAGCTTGAATTCCAAGATTGCCTTGTTAGTCCCTGAATCTGAACCAAGCATGATGTCCCTGATGGTATAGAGTGCCAGGTCTGTGTCACCAGTGTAGTGGATTATAACTTCCTCTGAGAATTCAACAATTTCCTCATAAGTGGATGGGAGACGAACATCGATAGTACAATACTGCACATCAAAAGGGTAGCCAAAAAATCTGAAAAAGCAGGTGAATCTTGCTGTGTAGTGGCTGATGATGGAGAGGTTGTTGGTAGCACCGGGGTAAAGCAAGTCTGCCAAGTGGAAACAAAATGTCGTTGTTACAGACTGTAACTCATACAGTGGGGTATGCTGTAACGAATCTAATTGGTTCTAGAACCTTGTTCGTTATAGGATTAATCCGTTCCAGGCCCCCAAATACAACCACTTAACACTGAAAAATATAATATAAAATTGTAAAAATTGTAAAAATGTGCATAAATATGCATATAAACCCCTGAAATAAAGAATATCATTAATACTTGTGATAAAAAACAATAAATTAGTAAAAAAAAAAAAAATAATAATGTTCCTTGTAGGAGTTTCGTTCGTTATAGCATTCTCAATTTTATAGGTAAAACCGTTCGTTATAGGAATATTCGTAGTAGAATCCATTCGTTATAGCATACTTGCAAACAAAGGAAGGCAGTATTAAAGTGAGGAAATTCCAAAACCTTAATGACTCCCATATAAACTTCCAAATATTAGATACTCATCTTTTTAGATGAACATTCAAAGGAAAATTGATGGTTAAATTAAACTAGTAAATGATTTGCCAGTGGGGTTTCTGTGAAATTACATTCTTTCATGGTGAGTTTGGATTAAATGTACAGTACCTCTAAGATTATAATTGTGGGAAACACCTTCTTTAAGCAAGGGTTTTGGACATAAATTATGAGGTAGTCCCTAATATCTTACCCCTGTTAACATTATTGAAGGCAGAAACTGTGGCATTGTTAGCCGTAGTTATACTAATGCTCTGTTCCAGCAGTTCCATTTTGCCACTTTCGAGGTTCATCAGTTGATACTTGGGTGTCCACACCATCTGCATCTCGTCCTTGGTCAGGATGGCCCCACCTCTAGACACACTCAGGTGCCTTAGGCTCAATCGGTCATCTATCCATGTCAGGACCACTTGGAGTTCTACATCAATGGCCATGCTAATGTCATCAATGCTAACCACCCTTAACAAAATGAGCTCTGGAAGGAGCTTTAGAACACTGCCTTTGGGACCTGCAGGAGGCAGTTCACTCTGGTATTCATTTCCAACCTCCACTTTACCACAGTTGACCTCATCACTGCCATCAATACAGTCATGGTCCAAGTTACAACGAAAATGTTGATCAGTACATTGGCCAGATGAGCACATAAAGTCCTCACTTGTGCAAGGTGAGAGGCTAAGGGTTATGATATTACCTTTAGCGACACCACACATTTCTCTGTCTGTTATCCACTCATGTTTACCTGTTGGATAAGCATTAGTTGCCAATGTATTTATATACATAAGGGTCGAGTTATCTAAATATCTCTGTAGAAGCCAAGTTTTATTGGGTGCATCCCATATTATCAAGAGATCATAAAACCCACGGAAATGAGGTCGGTTATTGGTATATCCTGACAGTCTGAACCGAATTTGATATTCACTGTCAAAACATAAACCTCTGAGGTGTAGAAAGTCTGACCTATATATTGAGCACCCAGCACATTTTTTGTTTGTTTTAAGACATTCAGTATCTTGCCAGGAGCCTGAGACAGTCAACAAGGCACAGTTGTAAAGCAATCCTCCATGAGGATATGATGGGGCAAAGTTCAAGTAGTCCACAGGATGATCAGAGTGGATGTTTCTCCAGACACCCTCCTCCTAGATGTCACTGATGCCAAGCCATTGTTTCCAGTCTTTGCCTGGAGAGCAGAGCTGCTCATAAGGGAGGAGCTCCTCAGTGAGGTGGTCATTGTCAGTGGCATCATTTGGCACTGCTAAAGGTGCCTTCAACATTTGACATTGGTCATTGGACTCTGACAAAGTCTGCTCCTCTGGCAGGATCATGTAGTAGTGGTTTGGTGACCTAAGATAAAAAAACAAAATATTTTACTTATCACAGTTAGTGTTTTGTATTGTAAAAAATATTATACACCTAAGTGTCTTAAGCCTATGTGCATTTCTGGAACTGTGTGAGGGTTTTTACCTACTTGGCTTCACAAGCTAGAAGGATACACAACACTGTACAGGGGGTCCCCAGGTTACGAATGGGTTCCGTTCCTGAGCACGTTCTTAGCTGGATTTGTACGTAAGTCGAAATTCATGCTATGTGCACACCGTACTTTCAGAACAATGTTTAAAATCAAATTGTATCATAGCTTAAGTCCTTGTATACATCTAAAATCACTTAATATCAGCTGGCATTAGAAAGCTGGCATTAGAAAGTTGGGGACCCCGTGTATAACTATACTTTCTGACTTAATTTACCTGTGATAGACTTATTTATTTATTTATTTTTATTGGGCACCCCTACATCCTTGTGTAAGGTGAAGCGCAGAAGCGTTTACAGTGCCCAACAGGAAAGCATGCTGAGTTCATGCTTGCCTTTATGTCTCATGAGTTAAGGGCGTAGAAGCCTGAAGAGTCAATGGTTTATGTCATCAAGTTATTGGAAGCTCCAACAACTTGTCCCTGAATACGAATTCGCAACTTTCGATTTACACCAGGTACCTACTTTACTGCTAGGTGAACAGGGACTAATGGGGGCTAGGAAGTATGTCCAAACAACTTCCACCGGCCCGGGAATCGAACCCCTGACATCTCGCTTGCGAGGCAAGAGTGGTACCACTCTACCACCAGCACCCCCATAGCCTTGAGCGAGTGGGTAATTTGATTAATTGAATGATTTATAATATTACCACTTATCAGCTTATTAACCATTTGGGTTGTTGCCCTGTTTGTTGTTTAATTTTTACTACCTTTATTATTTAGAGTTAGTACAAGAGGAAACTTGCAATGTTTGGTAAGGTCACACAGTATAACACCCATCCCATGTCTTTTCAAGGCCAGGAATCAAACTTAGGACATATTAAGAGAGGTACGTGTGTTACCGCTGTACTACCAATGTAAACTTTCACTTATTAAGGGTTCTACTGGAAATAAGTATTTGATGGCTTTGTTGATTATTCTTGGTGAAATTGCCTCACTTTTAGCCATTGTTTGTATACCTGCACTGGCTCCATACTTTGGTTGTAGACTTGCAGAGTCTGTGTACAGGTGCTACTCTACTTAAGAACGTCCAACTTACAAACTTTCAGAGATACAAACATCATCACTGAGGGGGGTTACCTGCCAGAACAGGTGTTTAATGTGGATGAGACTGGATTGTTTTGAAGAAAATTCCAGATAGAACAAACATTACCTAAGAGGAGAAGAGTGAACCAGGTTTTAAGGCTGTATTAAAGGGTATAGCTGTACTAAATATTCATTATCTTTTCATTTTTTACAATATGTTTGGTATCTACAGGAGTAAATTTGGACTTACAAACAATTGGACTTACAAACAAGCCTCAGGAACGTAACTAGTTCGTAAGTATACCTGCATTGTTTATACAGGTATACTATACTGTACATGCTGAACTGTATACCTGTACCTGCATTATCTATACACATATGATGATTTTACCGAATAAAAATCTTTATATCTAAATCCCATATAGTTATCCAAAACATTTCATCAATATCCAAGAAACAAGTTTAAGGTCACCCACTGACCATCAAGACATTTTCAGAGGTAAAGCTTCCAGAGCCTAAGACCTGCAACTTATGTACCTGTTTCACAAATATTTTTATTAACTCAATACAGTATTGTTAGTGTTATGAGAAGAGAAATATATACATAACAGACATCTCAGTCTTTAATATTACTGTATCAATGTGCAAGGATTTGTATAATTTTATGATTAATTACAGTACAGTACATATGTTTGTGTGTGTATTGAATGTTTCTGATAAATTGTAAAGGACAGCAACATTACCTGCAAAAACTCTCTACATCCACGAATTTGAAGGTAACTCCATATACTTCTAGTTCATCTGTGTCAGAGTTGAAGATGTTACCTCGACCCAGGGTGTGACAGGCAGCCATATCCACCACTTCGGTGTGCCAGAATGCGCGGTCCCAAATGGAAACCTGAGCTATTTCCCCAATCATCACCTGCACATCATGTTATTCATCTCAGCCATGTGGAAAGTAGTGATCAAGGTGTGAAGTGAGTGTGATGGGGATATTGTCACGTCAGAATATTATAAAAACATACAGTACGGTATGTACAGTAGATGCAGTGGCTCCCTAACCTGGTTCACAAGTGTACTCCCAAACTATTTTTGTGTCCCTTAAGCCTTCCATTAAAGGGTAATAATGCTTGTAGGAAGGTTTTTTTTCTGATATTAATACAATAGTTATGATAATATTGTAATAAATCTCTGACTTTACCTAAACTAACATTATATAAAATAACCTAACAATACCTAAACTAACCCAACCTAACTATTGAACATCTTATGAATAAACACTACTCAAACAAATGTATTGAACATGTAAGAAATACAATGCAGCTGACCTCCAATATTGTGTCTGTTCCACTGCAAATATGACAACTCTCCTAACTTACAAGCTTATGACTATTCTTGGAAACATCAGTGAATATTTTAACAGTGACTGAGGCTAAATATAATGTAACTGATTATGGCCAAGTTTGATGTATTAACAGTGACCATGGCCAAGTATGATGCAGTATCAGTGACTAACGCCAAGTATGATTTATGGTAAGTGAAAAAGAGCCAGATATAATGAAAATATTGAATGGACAGATATTACAAATTGAGTGACAAGAAGCAGAAAAGTGAAAAGTAAGATATAACGAAAACTGAAGAGATGAACATGAAGAAGACAGTGAAGAGCCGGATATGATGAAGGCAGTGACGAGAGCTATATGTGATGAAAACAGTGATGGGGGGGGGGGGGAAGATGATAAAGGTTAAATACTGTAAAAATAGCCATATATGATCACAGTGAAAGAGCCAGATTGAGTGAAGCTCAAGACTACTGACCTGCGTAACGTCAAAGCCCCCGCCAAGGCTATCTTGTTCCTGGCCCAGCACGAGCGAACCATTCATCTCCAGGGACCAGCCAGCCTCCAAATTCCCCGTGAACAGTTCCTGCAAGACAATACCAAATGATGATGCATGTGGCTTGCCTTTTCTTGCACCGGGTCTGTTTAAGGTGCCTTTGCAGCAATTGAAGAAGGAAAAGTAGAAACTACATGTTTTCTATCATTTATGAGGAATACGAGTATATACTACAGAATAATTTATTAATTTCTATGGGATTTATTGTACAGTATAACAAAAATAAAATACTAGTGGACTTAAGCCATGGGGCATCAAACTATCAAACTAGCACTTTGCAACATCAATTCGCCTGATTAGCTGGACAGTTGGCGCCAATTTTCAAGTCAAGCAAGATCCACAGTCCATGATGAGGATACAGTAATTATACAAAATAAAATATCGAGCGCTGTAAAATAACTAACTTTAATTTAAATGTAAGTATTATTACAATTTTTAAAGATATTGCTTAAGTGTACATTTTTTTTATTGATGTTGATATTCCAAAAACCTTCGATATGTTCTTGAAATCAGGAGCACTTGGCCGGGGATTACAGTAGCCGAAGTGGGAGGGACGAGTTGCTTTTACGTGTGTGTTTTACGGTACGCGCTTAAAAAATGAAAATTCTTTGGAAAGTTAGTGCAATAAAGTGTCGCAAAAATTGCCAGTGTGACGCCACCGTAAAACAAGTTGACGGAAGTTACGGAACCACAGAAAATTAGCTCAGTGTGATGAACCATTGGGATCGTGGCCACACTGATTGTACCGAGTTCAGTGTGGTGATTTGTAATTACACTTATATTTGCATAGTGTAAAAAAATTGTGTATGTCCATTAGTGCTTTAGCCTAGTAGTGTTTACAATGGAAAATAGTGGAAAATATTTAAAACGTAGAAATATAGTGTTAAACGTCCTCCTCAGCCACAACTCACTCGGCTGACATAAAAGATGTTCAACGTCATTACTTCACCACGACAAAATCAAGGTAAATGATGAACTCACTATATTTCATATAACTGCATGTAATTCTTAATATCAAAATTGTAAAATTTGCTTCCGATAATTTTTTTCCATCATGCATATGGGGGTTTCTGGCCAGTGAACCTAATTGTGGAGTTGGGTAATTTGATTTCCGCTAAATCATATTAAGACGCATACATTCATTATTTCAAACATGAACACGTAGGAAGTTTAAAGTAAATCTTTTACATCAACTAACTGTTAAACTCTGGTAGCAAATTTACGCTTTAGGAGGACGCATTTAATATACTTATTTTTACCCACAATAAGGCATACGAAGACAAATTGCGTATCAGTAGTACTACATTATGCAAAAACTAACATTTTAAAAGATCAGAATCACATTGAAATATTACACGGCTCCTGAAAGTTGGTGGATGAATGTGACAGCAAAGGCGGGAATATGAAGTTGTTCGCAGTCATATTTCCCGCCACTGCTGACGGCCGTGTAATAAACAGTATTTCAGTGTGATCCTAATCTTTTAAAATTTTAGTTTTTGCATAATGTAATATTACTGACCTACCTCTACATACCTCATTCTGCCAGTAGATTAAGTAGTACCTGACCTACCCAACCTACCTCACCCTGCCAGTAGATGGTATAGGTGGTCCGACTCAGGATGTGACACAGATGGTTCCATGTTTCGAGGGCCACATCCCAGACGTTGATGTCCAAATCGTCTGTCTGACCCTGGCCGTTGAGCCATAGCATCAGTTGCTTCTCTGCGTGATCTGTGAGGTGAAGGATGTACACTGTTCAAGATGTGTGGTACAGGGTATGCAGTAAAGGATATGTGGTTTAGGATGTGCATTAAAGGGTGTGTGGTCCAAGATGCGGAGTGTAGGATGTGAGGTGAAGGGCTCGTGATGAAGGACGTCTTAAAGGATATGTGGTGTAGGGTGTGTGGCCAGCAAGGATGTATGGTGGAGCGTGTTTGGCCAACAAGGATGTATGGTTTCAGTGGCTTACAACACAATAAGTCAATACTACACACTAATGAAAACCCAAATAGCACGATCACAAACAAAAATGTTAAAATCTACATCCCAGTGTTAAAAAAAATAAACGCCCAATAAAACCTACGTTCATAAGGGCGTGAGTAATAACAACGATGCAACAACACTGCACGGAACCTAATAGAATCTGACCTAACCAACCAAAGAAACTTACCTAACCTTACTTAACTTCCCAGCCAGGAGTTCCACCCACCCAGACCCTTTTCATATTAAACATAAAGTACTTATTTTGATATCTGGTGTTATATATATGTATGTTTATATGCTGCCTTTATTGAATATATATATATTATATATTATGTTACTTCTTACCAAAGTCAGAAAGTGTTTAGGCTTGTGTAAACACGAAATATGCTAGGCACGTTGTAACCAAGAACAGAGAATAAACGCCCAGCCAGACAGACCATGTGCTTGTCATTCTCCCAATAAATAACGCAAGATACTACACTGGTGACGAGGATGGCATTCACAAAGTGTTGGTGAAGTCCTTGAAGAGAGGATAGTGACCACTGAAGGGAAGGCTACTCTGAACCTAGAGAATTTAAGTGAAGAGAGCAACCATGGCTGGCGTCAGTGGATACATCGGACGATTGGGGGAGTATGATGCAGACAAGGAAGATTTCACATCATATTGTGAGAGAATGGACTTCTTCTTTCTGGCAAATGAATTAATGGACGATGGTGGTAATGCTCAGAAAGGAACGCAATATTTTTGACAGAGGCAGGAGCTAATGTTTATTCTACTCTGGTCAATCTGCTTACTCCAGACAAACCCAAGGACTCCTCACTGATTCAGATTACCAAGATTCTGAAGCAATATTTTGATCCTGCTTCACTTGAGATTGCTGAAAGTTACAGATTTGGCACCAGAGATAGAAGTAAAGATGAATCAGTAAGTAATTATATACAGTAGTAGCTTTGAAGAAGTTATCCATTCACTGTAACTTTAGACAGTTCTTGAGCCGAGCTCTAAGAGACAAGTTTGTAATAGGCCTGAATTATGAAAAAATACAGAATAAGTTAATAAACACCACTAACTTAACTTTTGAAAGTGCATGTCAGATAGCTACAAACATGGAATTGGCCGAGAAAAACACCAGAGAATTTGTTCCCAATGCTGGTAGTGAAACCGTTAGCAGTAGTGGCTCAGTGTGTAAAGTAACTGTAGCTAAAAGGAATAAGTATACCACAAAACAAGGAACACATGCTGATTTAAAATGTAAGAGGTACCGAGGGAAACATGAAAGCTTTCAGTGTAAGTTCACGAATTCAAAATGTTACAATTGTCAACATATTGGACATATTGCTCCTGCCTGTAGAAGTGATAAAGGTAGAGTATATGCCGTTGAAGGTGGAGAGAAGGAAATGAAAAACAGTATTCATGAGAGTGTTAATAATTTTGGATCTGATAATAATGAGAGTGCCCATGTGTTTACTATTTACACCAGTCGTGAAGAGAAAGTTAAACATAGGTATAATGTGGACTTGTGTATTAATGACACACCTGTAACCATGGAAATGGATACTGCAGCCGATTTCTCCATAATGAGTAAATATATGTATGAGAAACTGTTTGCGCATGTGCCTTTAGAAGACTCAGGTGTCAAGTTGAGAACTTATACTGGAGAGATTTTGAACACAAGGTAAATTAGAGTGTGAGGTAAAGTACAAAAATCAGAATTTAAAGTTGCCATTAATTATAGCTAGTTATGTGAATAGACCAACTTTGTTAGGTAAGAACTGGTTGTGTGAACTTGAGATGGACTGGAAGGAGATATTTAGTGTTAGAATGTGTAACAGTATTCCAGGTCTTGAGAAATTGCTTGAAAAATACAAGATTTTATTTATAAAGGGACAGGATGGTATAAAGGGTTATGAAGCTCATATCACCATTGACAAAGATGTTACAACCATATATGCTAATACCAGACCTGTTCCTTATGCATTGAAAGGTGAGGTTGAGAAGGAATTAGACAGACTTGTGAATGAGGGAATTATTGTGAAAACCGCCAAGAGCAATTGGGCTGCTCCAATAGTAATTGTACTTAAAGCTGATAAATCTGTTAGACTATGTGGTGATTATAAAGTTACCATTAATCAAGCTGTTGAGGATGAGCAATATCCCTTACCCACATCTCAAGATTTGTTTGCTGCACTAACAGGTGGAACCATTTTCACTAAGTTAGACTGTTGACGCTGAAATTCAACAGTACCTTACCATCAACACTCATAAAGGATTGTATAAGTTCAAAAGGTTGCCTTATGGTGTTAAAAGTGCACCAAAGTTATTTCAGTGCATCATGGACAAAATTCTTGTGGGTCTTCCCAATGTGTTATGTTTTCAGGATGATGTCCTTATTGTTGACAGTGACATCCAAAATCATGTCAAAACCCTAGCCACAGTATTCGAAAGATTGTTGGCACACAATGTCAGGCTCAACAAGAGCAAATGTTCATTCCTAGCTAAAGAAGTAACTTATCTTGGCTACAAAGTGAATGCAGAAGGGCTGAGACCTGTAGAAGATAAAGTAGGAGCCATAGTAAATTTACCTGCTCCAAAAAATGTCAGTGAATTGAAAGCATTCCTAGGTATGATACAGTATTATTCAAGGTTCTTGAGTGGACTATCATCAGTTTTAGCCCCTCTGCATGAACTATTAAAGAAAGGGATACCATGGAAATGGAACAGTGCAACTCAGAAGTCATTTGAAGATTGTAAAGCTGCTCTGTTTAGTACTGATGTTTTGGTCCACTATGATACCAGTAGAATACTAAAGCTTGCTTGTGACGCATCGGGTTATGGATTAGGTGCTGTCATAAGTCACATTGTCATGATCGTGATAATGGCTAACCTGAAAACCTTAAGGATTCATATTACGCTCAAACGTCCACAAAACCTTCCGAGTCCCCCAGTGGAAACGTCCCCCGTTTTCTGTGTTTCCCCGTCTTGTTTGTAGGGAACTTTGAATATAATCCACGGATTCAGTAGCCGACGCTGTATGCTGGGACCTGTTGCCATCCAACCCTTTGTAATCAATTTAATTTTGCTTTTGATAGCTGAGTCAGAGCATTGTTAGTGAAGATAATAGTAGGGAATGAAACTGAGTTTATAGTCTCAGTTTCAACGTCAGAGTGTACAGTAAATTAATTCATCGGAATAGAAGTAGGTGGACTCCCTGGCCTATTTTGAGTGGGTGCCGCGGGCATTTCTACCGTTAGTGAGTGCCCGTCCCTTCATCCATACAGGTATGCCATTCCACTCTGTGTTGTAATTCGCCCTTCTTTAAGTGATTTGACCCAATTAATAGTTGATTGTGCAAGTGTTACAGTAACGTAGCTGATATGCTCTGAGTGAAGTCATATTTACGTCTTTAACGTCCCCTGAAACGTGTTGTTGTTGTCACCGTTAGTGAGTGCCCGTCCCTTCACCCATACAGGTCCCTAACGCAGCCTAGGCCGTGTCTGTAGCGTGGATGTTGTATCCACTATGTCTGGGGAGATGTCCGAGGTCCAGTAGGATCAGTTACCTTCGTGAGACCCGGCCGTCAGACACTTCAGACTACCTATAGCCCCCATAGCTGGCTCGTCTGGCCCTAACGCTCGGCCTGCGAGGTGACCCCGGATCACCAAGCCACACACCACTACCAGCCCCCATCATTGGTGGATGAGTGTCTAACTCCGTAGGGCTATTTGTGTGGTGGGATTAATCCACTGGGATCTTCCGAGTTCGTCAGAAAGTACCCCATGGTGGCTGGACCCCATGGCTGTTGCTTGAGTATCACTCCTGACGACTGAGTGTTGTAGTGGCAGCTGCCCTGGTCTTTATGGTGCTAAGTGACTATAAGAGTTGTGTGTTATTGAGTATGTCCACCCAGTAGGGTTGGAAGTGTTATTGAGTATGTCCACCCAGTAGTGGTGTGAGTATGTTGAGCCTGAGGGCCTAGTACTAGATTTCGTCTGTTGGTACAAATAAATTCTTTCTCCTAATTTCATATTAATGTTCAAATAAATTTTTTATTTGTATATTGTGTCTATTATTTACCTACAGTATTTACCGTTATTTCTTCCCTATTGCTTGATACTATCATTACATCTACCCACGAGCCTCCTCTCGTCACGCTACCAATGGTAATAAGAATGAGAGTAAAGGAAATTGTTACTGGCACACAGAGGCCCTCATAAATGGTGGCAGTAGAGGCCCTCATAAATGGTGGCAGCTCAGGCCCTCATAACATAATGGATAACGGTGAAGAAAGACCCATTGCATATGCCTCGAGATCTCTTACCCAAAGCGAGAAAAATGATGCACAAATAGAGAAAGAGGCTTTGTCTATCATATTTGGAGTAAAGAAATTTCACCAGTATCTATATGGGAGGAATTTTGTTTTAATAACTGATCACAAGCCTCCCTTGGCAATTTTGGGTCCTAAATCACCTGTTCCTGCAGTTGCTGCAGCAAGAATGCAGAGATGGACTTTGATATTGTCGGCATATGACTATGAGATACAGTACAGAAGTTCAGATGATCATTCCAATGCAGTTGCTTTATCAAGGTTGCCATGTAGTGGATCAAATGGCGGAGTAGAGCCTAAGGTTTATGCTGTAACCATGATAGCAGAAGATTTTCCAGTCACCTCCGGAATGATTGCTCATGAAACTAGGAAAGATGTTGTATTAGGAAGAGTCCTGGAGTATACACTAAATGGATGGCCAGAGATTTGTCCATCCTTAGACTTTCAACCGTATCATTTAAGGAGATGTCAATTATCAGTAGAACAGGGATGTGTGTTGTGGGGTATGAGTGTTAATTCCACAGTGTTTAAAGCCCCGTCCACACGATCGAACAGTGCCCGGCGGACTTTGCCTGTGTGTCGTACACACGGAGGTGCTGGTTGGCAGCAGTCACACTTTGCCGCTAGTAGGTGGTCGGCAGTAGCTGCTGCGGTACGATCACCATGGTGTATCGCAGGAAAGTTAAATCGAAGACTATAGCGCTGTGTATAATAATTGCTACAGTGTGCAAAAAGAAGAAAAAACAGAAAAGGGAATGGTGCAAGGAATGGTTATCTCAACGAAAAGTTAAGGGAAGTCGTGCCACGATTTTACGTGATCTGCAAGGTGAACATGAGAAAGACTTCACTAACTACATGAGAATGGGCCCCAACACCTTCTATAGACTTCTCGCTAAATTGGAACCATACATAAAAAAACAAGATACCATTATGAGGTAGAGCATATCTCCAGAGGCTCGTCTAGAGGCTACGCTCATATTTCTTTCAACTGGGTGCTCCTACACGTCGCTTCAGTATATAACGAGGATATCAAAACAAAGTTTGTCTACCATAATACCTGCAACTTGTCAAGCCATATATGAAGTACTCAAGGAGGATTACTTGTGGGTGAGATTTGTAGTATACATAGTTATTCATTTTTGACGGTCACGAGAGGTTCCCATGGTAACACATGTCTTATTAAGTGATATAGTAGGCTTAGTAGGGTTTACGGTTTTTATCGATTATTAATGAAAATAACACTGTTTTTGTAAAAGGGGATAACCCTCCATACACATGATACATGATAGACCTGTTTAGGACACAAGGTTGCTTCCAAAACGCTATAGACAACTTATTATACACTGTATTTAACATAATTATATACTCCCTAGCGTATGTAGTCTTAAATTAAATATCTGAAGACCCACTCCAAACAATAAAGACATGTAAACCAAACCAACATGCATATTCGTCAATAAAAATAAAATACTAGAGTATGTTTTAACAACAGTTATCACTGTTTGCCACTAATGACGCATCGATAATTATAAGAAGTACGCGTATCTAACACCCTCATTCAATAAATGACCCTTACATAATAGTGTTGAGGAGGAAAGCCTACCTAGTTTCCCCAGATAAAGGATCTCATAAATAAGTTTCTGAGCATGTATTTTATTTTCACCGCTCCTCTGTCGAAGATCGTTAGCAACAACCTGACCAAAATTACTGTCTGCATCATTTATAATATTTTCGGAGGAAGATAATGACTGCAGGTGATGGAGGGCCTCTTTCAGGATATTATCAGCATCGTCAGAAACCCTTTTGGTCGGTCGTTTACTTGTTGACGGTGAGGGTGAGGGTTCACGAGTATTCGATTCTGCAGCCGAACGAGAGACAGTCGGCGTAGCCATACGAGAGACGGTGGGCGTGGCCGAACCAGTGACAGTGGCTGGTGGATTATATAATTATCATCAAGTCCCAGCAGTAGCTGATCGTTGAATATCTATAAATAAATAAAAATATACACAAGCCCTTTGTGACACACAAAAATATATACATACATATTACGTACAATACAGAGAGAGAGAGAGAGAGAGAGAGAAAGAAAGAGAGAGAGAGAGAGAAAGAGAGAGAGAGAGAGAGAGAACGCTTGCATACGTACCTTGTGATCAGAATGTACCTCAGACATATCTTCTGTAGTGTGAGTATCCATGTTTGACACAGATTGTCGAATTCTGTCTCCATCAATGAGGAAATGCAGTGCATCAAAGCACCATAATGTGGGAATATAAATGTCCTCAGTTCCGGCTCCAGATTTTTTTGATTTTTGCATCTTTCTTAGTTCCCGTCTATGCTGATTTCGAAGTGATTCAATTTTTCTCTTCACATCACTTGTGGTAACTGTAGTCCCGCTTCTATTCATGTCCTCTGTAATCTATCTCAGTGCCGCTGCACGTTTGTCCCTATCCCTGTACATGTCCACTTTGACATTCCATAGACAAGGGTGCTGACGATAGAGTTCAATCAACACCATGGTCTCTTCTCTAGACTAATGAATGTTTCCTTGGTCTGTGGCCGACGGAGGAACAGATATTTTCCAGTGGTGACTTGTGGCGAGACTGAAAAACTGGCAGCCAGGGTTCCAAGGTTAACTTCGTTTGTCTGGCAGGGTCGTCCATCCATACCCGGCGGCAAACGGTCAAACCACCAGGCAGACGGCCTTATCTGGTGATTTCGCTCGACCACGGGCACGGGCACTGGCACTCCGTTGGTTTGCCCGTCAATTTTGCCCTAACAACGGGCATTAAGCGAGTGCCCGTCGGGCAGTGCTCGATCGTGTGGACGGGGCTTTAGAGGGCAAATTTTGAATGAACTGCATTTTGAACATCCAGGTATATATGCTATGAAAGCACTGGCCAGAAGTTTTGTGTGGTGGCCTAAACTGGATGGTGAAATAGAAATGATGGTACGTGAGTGCTCTGTTTGTTAGAATGTTAGGAGTATGCCACCCAGCACACCTTTGAAAAGTGGATTGATGTTAAGCACATGTACAGTACTAATGCTGGTAGCACCATTGATGAATTAAGATTTATATTTGCCGAACATGGAATACCAGAAGAGGTAGTTTCTGACAATGGTCCTCCATTCCAATCATCAGAGTTTAAAAACTTCATGAGATTCAACGGTGTAAAGCATGTACTGACCCCACCCTATCATCCTGCCTCTGATGGTGCAGCTGAGAGATCAGTTAGAATTGTAAAGGAAGCACTTTCCAAGCAGGTAATTCAAGGAACTGTAGGAAAATCAATGAAACACAGACTAGCAAATTTCTTACTCAGATACAGAACCACGCCACATAGTGTGACAGGATGTACTCCTGCAGAGTTAATGGTGAAGAGACAGTTGAGAACAAGATTAAGTTTAGTTAAGCCAAGTCTGTTTGAAGTTGTAGAGAGGAAACAAGCTCAACAAAAAATGTATCATGATAAGAGTTCCAGTGAAAGAGTGTTCAAGGTAAATGATAGGGTGAGAGTTAGGAACATGGCTAAAGGTTATGGTACTGTACATGCAAAGTGGATAACTGGTGTCATTGACAAGGTATGTGGATCTAGGACATATTTAGTGAAATGTGGTAACTCTTTGAGATATGTTCATGTGGATCACATCATTCAGGCACATGACGAGATGAATGTAGCACCAGGACATGATGATAAACTTGACACAGTTTCAGATGATCATCATGATGATGATGTCAAAGATGATGTTTCCCAGCATCCACTCACTGTGTCAACTGATTGTAGTGATGATATGTCTGTCACTGATAATGCACAGAGTTGCAAGTGAAACCCCTGTAAAACTTGACGGAGGGAATAGTCCTAGAAGATCAAACAGAGTTAGGAGACCTGTAATTAAATTAGACCTCTAATTATCTAAATTGTGAACAGGCCTTTCAAAACTGTTTAGTTGGGAAGTTATATTTGTTGTGTTCTATTCCCTTCTTCCCTGCCATATGTAATTCTGTAAGTTTTGTTTATTTAGGATTTGTAGCAGCCACGCTCTCTTTTGAAAGGGAGAAATAGTGTTATATATATATATGTATGTTTATATGCTGCCTTTATTGAATACTATATATATTATATATTATGTTACTTCTTACCAAAGTCAGAAAGTGTTTAGGCTTGTGTAAACACGAAATGTGTTAGGCACGTTGTAACCAAGAACAGAGAATAAACGCCCAGCCAGACAGACCATGTGCTTGTCATTCTCCCATTAAATAACGCAAGATACTACATCTGGTACCAATGGAAGCGTCATAGTGTAATTTTATTATTAATTTCTTTTTGTGGGCGTGAGAGTACGCTTGAACCGAGCAGGTCGGTTAAACAAACAGACGATATGCCGTGACGGCAAATTTTTCGGAGGTGTTTTTACGGTAAATAATTAATTTATTCAACAACAAAGCACGTAGATACATCATTTTAGTGTCATATGATCAGTTTTCACCGTGTTTACCCCGCAATTTCCCGTATCCTTCATGCACTGACCACTACAGGTGATTTACGATCGTAGATAGAGAACAACTAAAACAAAAATGTTTTCGTCCGTCTCTTAAAATACTATAATAATAAGAACATCTGTGGATAAAACAAACAAATTCGAACAACTGGTGGCAGTGCTTTACTCCGAAATTACCATGTGTTTGACCGAGGCTTGTAGTTTGGTCATATACAGTATTAGGATAAAACTGGAAAATTAATATTACTATGATTGGGACTCTTGACTCATCCTGTACCGGCAAAATGGCATTAGAGAAAACGAATGAATGAATCAGGTCCAACTTAAAAATAAATTATTAGATTAGGTTGGGTTGGGTGGGTTGGTTTATGTTGACTGTAAACCTCCCCAGCTTATATCACCTGATGATTAAACACCCTATAACGTTACCTATCATTTGGTTTGGTTAGGTTAATTTAAGATGAATTAAATTATATTTTTGGGTAGATTGGAGCGTTACATTGTGGGGTACGAGATGGAATAAACTAGGGTGTCTAAGCTTCAGGTGATCCCTCTTAACCACACTACAGACAGTGCAGGAGTTATAAAGGCGAAGTAGATATATAATACTCACATATGCTCAACATGTCAATATTATCCTCCCTGTTGACGTAGGAGAAATGCGTCGACAGCTCCGTGAACCTCTCGAATCTGCAACACAAAAAAAACCCTGGATTCGGGATAAGACTCGCACTCCCGATGTTGGAGTATTATAAAAAAAACAGGACCGCGAGCCCATTTTTTTTCTTTTGACAGCTGAAGATATTACAGTATAAACTTAACCTAGCCCTTATGGTAGTTTTGGTTGGGTTAGGTTAGCTGCGGTCGTGTTGGGTTAGTTGTGGTTGGGTTATGTTAACTGTGGTAGGGTTATGTTAACTTTGGTTGGGTTGGGTTATGTTAGCTGCGGTTTGAGTGGGTTAGGTGTGGTTGGTTTGTGTATTCTGAAGAAAAGTATTTGTCTTGGCAGTTCCGTTCGCATTACTTTTAGACAATTTTTTGGATTATTTAGTCAAGTTGTGTAATCAGTTATTTCACGGAACGAATCAAATGATTGACTTTACATTAATAAATTAGCCATATCAATGTTCCACTCAGGTTTGTTTAATGTAGGTTAGGACCTGACCATAGAATAACTTAACCTAAGCTAATTTAACCTAATCCCCCATGGTAGCGTTAAGGTTTTTAGGCTACTCATCGAGTGTAATTAGCTGGGGTGTCTAATCTTCAGATGATCCAAACTAACAACGCTCATTTTACAGTATCAGTAAAATTCTCCTTACGATCAGAAATCAATGTGTTTACCTCCATCTACAACGTAAACATATTTCGTAGCCCCGGGCGGTTTTACTCCTCTGTACACGTCACCTTAAAAAAAAAACACGACAAAATCTATAGCAGTAATTTTGTTAGCTGACCTTTGTACATAGTGTCTGGGACTAGCAACTTCCGGATCACATGAAGATTGGACATCACAGCTTATTAACTTTCACCTGAAGATTAACTGCCTTAACGCTACATAGGATAAATTTAGGTTAGGCTAGCGTTAATATAAGGTTAGTTTAGGGTAGGATATTGTTCGGTTAGTTAGGTAGGTTAATCATCAGGTGAGATAAGCAGAAGTGACACTTTAAATGTGGTCACTCCTAAAATGTAATATACAGTACTGTAGATCAATCTAATATGAAATATTAACGTAAAATGTAATAGGGTATCAACTTTAAATGTATTAGTCTACGTTTAAAGGAGTTATTTGATAAGAGTTATATATTACAATTATGAGCTATTTAAAGGAGTACACACACACACACACACACACAAGAGATAGATAGAGAGAAAGAGATAAACCATAAATAAACAAGCTCTTGTCGACACAGACCCAATGGTGACGTGACATGGGGAAATGAGTCGTGAGTAAAGGATTGCTACTCTGTAAGACGCCCTCCATTACTTCTCATTGCAGACGGTATACAAAGGCGAGAGCTGCACTGATGTGTCCTATCACTCACACACATCTACTGAATATTGAACACAACGATGCTGAATAATGGTACAATATGGTCAATAAACTCATTCAAGCACAACTCAGAAATATATACTCCAGGCTATGTACAGAGCCGATGTGCTAGTCACACACAAACACATCCGTCACACACATCCGTCACACACACACACACACACACATCCGTCACACACATCCGTCACACACACACACATCCGTCACACACATCCGTCACGCACATCCGTCACACACACACAAACTAAATAATGAACAGTATGATGCACAATAATGACAAAATGTGATCAATAAACTCGTGTTACTGAGTTCATTCCAAATACCTGTACTGTTCTGATCCAGTTTTAGAATGTTAACCTAAATGGTGTGCCACAGGGAACGTATACACTTTCTTTCACACGCTTCAGTAAACTTATTCTTACACTACCTAGGTCAATACTATTTTACTATGTATACATGACCTACCAAACTGCCTCCCAATATATAAGATAGTACTAACTCCCAACAATTCTTCAAGATATACCTAAACGCACTGGAACGACACATTTTAAACTGCATAACGCTTACATTCTCAAAATCTACTGCCACTGTTTATCTTTCTATCCCCGGATGGACACACTATCCTCAGGTTCAGTCATACGTTACGATATTCAACAAAGAATTGCCAATAGATCCTTGGCTCAATTTTGGGCACAAATATGACCTTCACCAAACACATTTAACATCAACGCAAAAACCACAATACAAGACAAGTCAACACATTCAAAACAGCTAAAAAAAATTACCTTCCAAAACAATATATAAACATTTAATCTCACGATACTAAACGGTTTTCGTGAAGATTAGGAACCCCAGCTTATTTCACCTGATGATTAATTACCCTAATGCTAATCTAATATAACCTAAATTTAATTTACCCAAACATAACCCAAAATAACACAATGTAACCAAGCTCCCGCCAGGTAGCGTTAAGGTGTTTAATCATCAGGTGAAATAACGAATGTAGCCTAACCTGGGTAGCAACAACATCTGCCTCCAACATCCAGAAATTCCAAAGGACTCAAAATAAATCCTTGAATAATGACATGAAACTAACCTAACCTCACCTCAGCACCCGACTTGCACCACAACTTACTACTACTAACCACACGCCTAACATAACACTACCACTGCATACTACAGCACTACTACCACAGACTTAACACTCCTAAGCACACACCATAACACTCCTAAGCACACCATACCACTACTACCACACATGCAACACGTGAAACTTAGGCAACAACAACAACGACGATAATAAGACCATCAGAAAAGATTGAAGAAAGTCAGTTTGGCCTCGGGGAGTTGGTGGTTGGTTCAGGGGGAAGGGGGAGGGTTGGTGGTTGGTTCAGAGGGAAGGGGGAGGGTTGGTGGTTGGTTCAGAGGGAAGGGGGAGGGTTGGTGGTTGGTTCGGGGAGGAAGGGGGAGGTTGGTGGCTGGTTCTGGGGAAAGGTGGGTTGGTGTTAGTTCAGGGAGAAGGGTTGGTGGCTGGTTCAGGAAGAGGTTGTGGTTGGTTCAAGGGAGGTTGGTGGCTAGTTAAGGGAAGAAAGGGGGTGATATCAGGTGAGGGAGAGGGGAGGGGAGTTGATGGGTGAATCGTAGGTGTCAGGATAAGATATAGTAGATAGATTTATTCATTAAATGGTTATAGAAGTTTACAATTGGTTCAGTAAGTGATATGGGGAGAGATAAGGTTGATGGGGAAGTCGTTCGGGGTGAGAGTGGGAGCGAGTGGAAAGGGGTCAAGATATCACTTGATATTATTGCAAGTCGAGGGAGATGTTAGGATAAATTAGTGTTTATTTTTATACGAACGCTGTTGAATGTGGGTGAAGGCATACAAGGCTTGTATAGCTACATGTATAAATAATATAGATGTGTATACATATTTTATGTGTGTTCGTAGGCTGTTACAACAAATTGATTCACTATCAGAAACCTTCAAGACACAAATGATTAGAAACATCGAGCAGATTCATAACACTGCCAAACATATAAATAACTAACACTAAAATTAACTAACGTGAAACAACACTAAATTGTAATATAACTAAACAGTGATGGACTATAATAGACATAAATGAGTACTCACATAGATATACCCACATTGGTGGCATTAGAACAACAACAGAAATAAAATAAGAACGTGAACTGAACCAGCAAGGACTGGGCTAAACTCCATCTGCTGGTGGGTCACCATACTGATATAAAGGTCAGCTCTCGCCGCCAGTGAAACAGCCGATCGTTTAACGCTACTGAATGGTCGTTAAGAACAAGAATGTATTGCAATACTAAATGAAAATAAGATGGGCCAGACAAATAACAGTTAAAACCTTAGCAGCACAGGGTAAGGTGACTAGATTTATAAATAAAAATAAATACATAACACGTCATTACAGAATAATGTGGAACTTGTGGAAGCATGTTATATAAAAAAAATAGAAAAATACGACACGGTCGTAACGCTATCTATATAAAAATAAAATTTTTAGCACTGGAAATTTTGATATTATTTATAAATATTCATTCTGTGGAGTCTAGATAACAGATCACTAGCATCTGGGCTAAACACAGAACCAAATAGAGGCTCTTAAAATGGGATATGAGCATAATACATTTTTCAAGTTTTGAAAAGAATCCTGGCTTGTACCTTGAAATTAACTTATAAATTATGGCATACCCTTCTTCAACAAATCAGTGAGGTAGTGCTAACTCAGCAAATTACAAAAGATATCTCCGGTTATAGCCCTCTTTTTTTTAAAAATCTCTGCGGGCTTATCGTTTGTTACATAGAACAGGCATCTGAAATAATGTCCTTTTATTGGAACAAGTTTTCCCAACAGTTACATGTCGAATAAAGTTGAGCTAAACAAATTCTGACCTTGGTTACTGTAAGTCCTACGTTTTCTGTCGATACAGAGCGTCATTGACGCCAAATAGTCTGACAAGTCATCAGAAAAAAAATTACATCATCTAAATATGCTACACAACCCAGGTATTTGGCCGTGACATGACATCAACTGAAGGTAGCATTACAAAGCCAAAACTCTTATTCGTTAGGTCTTACTAATGTCACAAAACTGGAATGTCTTTAACGACAGGTCAATGGTGCCGCAAACCCTCGAATCTTAGGGAACCCGTTCATTCTTCGATGCAGTCGTCGACTCTCTTTCTTAATGAAGGAAGCTGTCCTTGCTGGTGACGGCGTTGACCTTGTGGAAATCGATGCAGAATCGAAGTGCCGTCTTCAATCGCTAGGTGACTGGTAGACACCACTCGCTGGTGAGCCTGTGATAAACACTGAACCCAACATCAATATCATACCACGGCAGTGTATGCAATGACCTGTCTTGGGGAAGATAAGAGGATATCGTTGGATGGCACGGCCAGCACGTAAAACTCTCTGGTGTCGGTAGACGTTATAGCTCCTGCAACTCCACGTAGTTGGACTGCCGACCTGACTGATGACGGGCAGTGGACCTGCCCTTCTTTTCTCTTCTTTCTCACCATCTGCAAAGAAGTGTCAACGCTTTTGCGGAAATGGATCATCAGCAACAAATTGGGGTGCTGGGCGTGTGTGTGCAACGATAGTGATGACGTGTTTGTCGCGCTGGTCAGCGCCTGTCAGAAATGAGAATAATATAATTTGTGGGGCTTTTTAATAACCACCTCTATGGCCACTAGACGCATGGGCAGCCTGTCCATGTTTCAGCAGAAGAATAGTACTTGTTCTCTATATCTAGGAACTCTCTTATCTGCTTGCCTTGTCGTACCATGTCTTGTAGTATTGGACCGACTGCTGTAGCAAAGTTCAACATCTTAGAAGCTTCTCTCTCTGTCACTAAACCCAATGCCTTTAATGCTCTCTTCTACTACTAACAATCTATCTGCCCAACTATGCAGGACCTCTTATGATATGAACCATTAGTAAGTATGAAACAAAATGGATGATATTAGGGCCTTGCGGCGTGCTTTCCTAAGAGTACAGCAAGTACCTGGTGGGTATCAACTGATAAATAAATATTCAAACCACTAAATTTGGGCTGAGGCCAGCAATGTCACTGTACTGCCTTAAGGCTCAGGTACGTGGTACTCTTACAAGTCGACGATGGAATAACCTGATTAACTGCCTACCTTTGACAAAAATGACAATGCCACAATATTTAGTAACATCTCTCCTCATACCTGGCCAATAGAACTTTCTGGCCAGCCTGTTGGGCTGTCTTTCAGACACCTTGATGTCAGAAAGCGACCGTCATGACCCAGAGCAGGTTTGTGTAAGTGTGTGGAGAACTATTTGGTGACTGGAACCTTGAAGTCATCTTCACCTCTGACGCCGAGTCGGTGGGAGCCAGCGGCGGCTTCCCAACACCGTCTTGACTGGAATATCTCGTGGTGGGCCTGAATCGATGGCAGAGATCGGACACCTGGTCAGGCGGCTATTAATAACTCTCCGGTCTGGCGATAACTGCGGAAGAAATGTCTTGGGAAAACAGTGGGTCAGCAAAAAGTCAGCACCAAGTAAATCATCTACAGCAGGTTACATTGCGCAGTCGTAGTTAGACATAGAACAGTCACAGCACACCGGGCACTCTCATCTTCAGAATTGTTGCGGCTCTGCCAGTAGACTCTGGTCTTCTCTGTGGGGTACGTTCCCATTTGGCCTCCGCCAAATCGTTGATACAGTCCTCAGCAACAGGCATTCGTGCGCAAGCTGCATTAGCTGCTCCGAAGACTTGACGTCACTAAAACCAAGGCTACCTTGACCCCAAAGGATCCAAAACGACGTATTTGTCAGTCTTCCTCGCCGCAACAACACCCTCTTTGATGAGTTTGAACAGCGAGGTCTCTAAAAATAGTGACTGGTGTTTCGACACCATCAACTTCTATCGTACTATGACAAAAGGCCGAAATTGCCTTAACACGTCTGGGTCGCCCATAAACTCTCCTGGAAAGATCAAGTCTCGTGAGGCGAAACCGAAACTGCACTCTCTCGTGCTTCACCTTTTGTGAAATCAACCCTTTGGCATGCTGTCAGCCTTACTCAAACCAGCCATCACTCCGACTGGTGACACGTATTAGTCTCTTCAGTAATAATCATGACTGGTTTGCCCGTGTTCTTTGTGTCCAGCATAAACTCTGCTATAGACCTGGCTTTCCACAGTAACAGGGGTGTGTAAATTTGGACGCCCATTAGGTGTGTAGAACGCGTCCTTTAGCTCCTCCTCGCTTCGAGTGCTGGTAGTATTCCTTGTCTCTCGCTCTCTATGGAGAGGGATTAAAGCCCTTTGAACCTGTGGGGGCATGCCATCTTTTTAGTCTACCTCAAACAAATCATCAACGTAGCAGTAGCCTCTACAATGTTTTCTAAATTCCTATCTAACAAGTATGGTATTGTCTTCAAATCGATGATTCTCAAAATTCTCTGTGAGCGATAACTCAATCAGAATCAAAATCTTCCTTCACCAGAGTCAACCTTTGAAATACCTCTCTTTTCTCCTATAAATTCAGGTGGGTCTCTTTTTCTCTGCCTTCTTGGAGCCACAGTGTTGTCTGTACCTTCAGGAGCAAGGGCACAAGCTTTGAAACTTCTCCTTAATACAAATAATCGTAATCACTGTCTGTAGAGACGAAAAACATAGAGCCTTACCTGTAAACGCCTGCTGGAAACAAATGGGCCCAAAAACTGCAGAGCCGCCTTTACAAAGTGTGTAGTCTCTCAACCATAAACTCATCAACTGGCTATCTGAAAACGTGGAGGCGATAGCCTAGCAGCGTGCTGGATCAAAATGGAAAAAACTAGATCTGGGGTGGGGCATCGGTAAAGGGTTACTCTGACCAGGCTATGCGGTACAAGTTTCTGAATCTGCTTCTCTTTCCTTTAGCCTCAGCTACTTTGCTTTATTCAACTTCGCCTGGCGTGTCTATCTCTTTTCGCTATAAGCTTCAACTTCTGCTGCGTATTCAACTACTTTCAATTTTATTTGTGATTCATGAAGGCGTAATTCATCATTCATGACCGTGGCTCAACTACGATAGTCTGGCTAAACTTCACCGTAGTCTTCTCTTAGCTTCGCATCAACACTATCCTCCTATTGACTACCTGCGTTATTTCAACTTCTGCAAATTTCATACCATAATACTCGCAAATTAATCTTAATTCATGTGCGCCAATTTTCTAAACTTCCTCAACGGAAGACTACCGATACAAATGCATACATCATCTTAGCTAGTAATACGCTGATGGCTGCTAATAAAAAAAATCATAATACAAAGAATATCACCCAAGTGTCAAGGTCGTTAGTAAGATCCTGTACAAAGGTCGCCAAAACTGTTACGCCGTCTCTTTAATTTACTTTAATATCCAATGTTCGAAGGCGTAACCAGGCAAAAAAGAAAAGTGAAGTAAATTAAAAGGGAATAAAAAGTAAATAAATAAAACATTAAATTAAATTAAATTAAATAATAACACAATAAAGCCTCGTGGCTGTAAATGATTCATAGTAGAAACCTTTAAGACAAATGATGTATCAAACAGGATTGCGATGTATACTTAAACAAACATAAATAACTAACACTAAAATTAACTAACATTAAACAACATAGATTATAATACTTAACCTTGGCAGTGATGGACACCAGACATAAATGGGTACTCATAGATATACCATTGGTGGCGGCAGACAACAAAATAAAGTATAGTTACGGTGACTGTATCACTCAAACATGAACCAGATGACAATTTGGACAAACTGTCTGCTGGTGGTCCTATAATTTTTTTTTTAGCCAGACTGAGTCACTGGCCCACATCAGGGCCTGTAGAATGTAATAATAATAATAATAATAATCTTAATCATCATTGTCATAATAATAATATTAATAGTAATGTGGCGTAGTCATATTAATAATAATAGTCATAATAATAGTCATAATAATAATAATAGTCATAATAATAGTCATAATAATAATAATGATAATAGTCATAATAATAGTCATAATAATAATAATAATAGTCATAATAATAGTCATAATAATAATAATAATAGTCATAATAAATAAAATTTGATAAAAAAAATAAAATAATAGGAATAGTGATGATAATATTGGTAGCTATAATGTAATAATTTTAATAAGAACTATAAATACAAAATGAAAAAAAATCAAAATGAGAAACGATATATGTATGTTGTGTTGTATCAATAGTAAGAAGAAACAATTGGGGCCCTGCAATTGTGTATGTAAATGAAACAGAAATCAGATCAGCAACCTGGGGACTTGGTCTGATTTGCTGTTAAAACATAACAACTGATGGAAGTGACTAGATTATATAATAGTAAATATATGTACATCATTACAGAATAATGTGGAACAACATTTATTAGGAAGCATCATTATGCTCAAAAAAATAAATGCTGACACAGTCGTAACGGTATGTCTTGTGTGTGTGTGTGTGTGTATTGCTAACCCTAAAAACAATACGACCATTATTCTCTGGAAATCTAACGTCTATACACAAGATAACTATGGGTAAATAAAACAAATATTGGTGCCCTCTGGGTCATCCCACGTAATCAGTGTTCAATGATCATTCTCAAACGTAAATAGTTCGTGAAATGTCACTGACGAACGGTAACAATCGAATGACAACCTTAATGACAGACAACAGCATGTCATAGAAATGGTTGAATCATATGATAATTTTGCGGTCATACTACGGTGTCATCAAGGTAGGAGAACATATGCAGCAGCCTCTTGAACACGCATAAACACTGCTGATACATAAAAAATGCGAATGTATGTCGTTTTCTGAACGGCTTGGGGACGATAAAATTAATAATAATAATAATAAAATTCAGAATATCTAAGTTTGCCGTTTATCCTGCTCAATGCGCACTCTCTTCTGCAGGGAACAAAGCTTTGCTACATTTGACATTTTCAGGTGAATGGTAATATATTTCGGCCACACTATATCTTAACCCAGTAATGAAACCCCAGTCGATGCTCTGGTGACGTAATTACTACTAATAATCTATCAAGTAACTGTGATTATTCAATGGGAATATAATACATTCAGAGATTAATATTTTGTATTGTTCGTGTATGTTGGAGAATTATCAGGTATCACGTAATTTATCTATGACTCATCCTTCGGTAGTCTTTTTGCGGTTTTCAGTCACGCCATTATGCTCTGTGTTTAGAGTTTGTTGTTGTATGTTATGAGTGCCATATGGCGTGACTGAAAACCCTTCGTCTACAGACGGGTCGTGATGCTTGATACCTTTCAGGTTCATTTCACGTCAATCTGTAACGATGGCTACGTTACTGGTTGGTTCAGAGTGATGCAATTTTTACGGCGTGATTGTTGAGAATCTCGAATAAAATCATCCTGTAGGTATGTCACGCTAAATGGGGATAATCATGATTAAGTTGCTAGCAACGGACGATTTTTGCCATATGTGGATAATTATTTTTATTGTAGCAATACAGAACTTTATTTGATAAGTTGTTTGTTTTCATAGACTTCGTTGCCATTAGATAGCAAATTTACCTGGCTAAATTGCTAAAATAAATTAGATTGGAAGTAGATTGAGTTAGATTGGGTTAAATTTCTGCGACAACTATTCTGTGTGTTGATCTGCGGGTGTTCATTGTGATGATCAACCGTTTAAAATATGAAAATATGACTATTTGGCGGTTTCGGGTACCATAATACCAGAAAAAAAAAACGCCTATTACTGGCTGGATGAAATCAACAGCGTCACACACACCACGTATTTTTCTTTTTATAAGCTGTATATTAATTTTAAAACTACGTAGAAAATTATATCCTACAGTATATCTCTAATCCTTTAGTACTGTACATAGAGACAGGGGTGGATACTATCGACAGTTCGACCTTAGTATCAGAGGATAAATAACATCCTTTCGTTCTCCTTCTCTCCTCACGTGATCCACTTCACTCCTCACTATGAATTATTATCATTACTGGTTTTCAGCCTCGATATCGTTGGACGTATGCTGATTGCTGATCGTTGAGACCAGATCGCGCCTACACACACACACAAATCAACGTATACGGTACGGTATTAACCGATAATCCTTTCTGGCCTGTGGTGGCCCACAGCTGACCGAGCGCTAAGAAGTTGTACCGAAGACGTCTGTTGATAATATCGTCCATAACCCGCAATAGCAGGTTGTACACCTTTATCTTCTACACCCTCATCCTGCTGCTCACCTGTAATAAAATTATTTGACCTCACAGTATCCCAATGAAACTAGGAACTAATGTGTAATAAGATTCTGAGATTCGTATCTTATGGGTTCGTATCTTAACATTGTGCCTTAACTGTGTTTAATGGTTAGTAATTCTCTGATTCATAAAACCGTGGTTTACCTCGAGTTTCAACGACTCGCATAACAAATTTTCCCCCTGACTGGATATATCATTGAACTATTGTTCCCGCGTTGTTCATTTTACTTCTAATCTAAGTGCCCACCTAACCATTTCATTTGCAGTTAAGTCTTCCCATCATTTATATTCAAGCTCCTATTGATTTTATTGCTCCTTCTTAATCATTTTTATATCAAAGCTGTTTATCAAATCTGAACCGGAAACACTTGCTGCCCATGATGTCTGCCTCGTGGAGAGCAATTCGGTTACCTTTGAGCGATTATTCAACGAGGGAGGACGCTATAAATCATT